GAAAAACGTTCGTTCAGAATGTGCGTTCACCTTAGAAGCGGAAGTTTGTCGGATGTTAAAGCGTCCGCATCCATCATAAAGTTATCCAAACAATGTATAATTCGCATGTGTGATTCGCTTTTGTCGCAACACCAGAGATTCTGAATAGCGTGTGCAACTATTATGTATGTTCTAATCTCGAAAATTCTCTTTCAATTCGCGAGTGTATTCGCATCGTTTTCCGTCATTTCACGTCGGCAAATTTCGAGGCAATCAGAGCGATTCGTGAGGTACTAGCTTCGCGATGAGTCTCGCACAATGAAAATTTTGGAAAGCTTCCAGGTAATGTATCGATTTTCGTGTAAGCGTCTATTGCGATGAGAAGCTGGATCGGGGAGAGAAGCAGAGAGAAAGCGGGTCGTCGAGCATTGTGCCAGAAAGTATGCCGGAAAACTGACATAAGCGTCACCGATTCGAGTATTATGCAATATATGTATACCGTGCTTGTTTGAACTGCATGCATTCGCACGCGACGAAATCTCGGTAAATGCGCATTCTGGTTACCGCCGTATAAATTCATTGGAGCTCCCTGTATTATGCAGACGTTTTATGATAACTCTGGTACATCCACTCTCCATAGCTCTTCTCATGTATTTTTTTTAAATCTTAAGTAAATTTTATAATGTAACATCTAGATAGTTTATATACTTGATGAACGTAAAACGTTTTTTTCCTTTTTCTTTTTCTTTTTTTTTCTGTAATAGCGTTGTTTTTAGTATTCAGGTCAAAGTAATGAAAAGACAATGAAACCAGATTGTAATCGAGTCAAATCGAGATTTTAGAATAGAATATTTTAATTGTTAAATTAAATCAACTAGATGGATTCCCCTTTTCAATCATTTATTTATTCTTCTTGTGTTTGAAATAGAATAGAATTATGCTAATTTTTTTAAAATAGGAAAATCAGAAAATATTTCTATCTTTCCTAAATTTTCGATGTTTTAATTCAATATACTTTTATATCTTTATTCTATGAACACGAAATAGAAAATTATCTGACGAGAAGTTGCTGTTCCATCATTAATCGCAATGCGAGACGCGCGCGGTTGAATCTCGAGTACGCCAAAATCACAAAGTTCTGGAATGCCTCCAGGAACTATCTCGATTTTCGACTAGCCATAGGAGCAAGAAACTAACGATTGTGCTGAACGATCGTGCCAAGAAGAACGTCGAGACGCTCTCGCGGGCGCCGCCGAGTCGAGTTGCATCGAGGATGCAGCAGCCTCGATATCTGAATCGCCTTCGTTACGAGAGCGCGACTATGTGCAACGTTAGCAATGACGCTCTTTCGGGGTGAAAGATCGGATATTTTCAACGACGATGACCTTTCGCGATATATAGACAATGAGCTTGTCGATCGCGAGCATGTGCACAACGCGTATGTATGCACCATTTGCCCGAGGAACTTTGTCGAGACACGTGAGTCTTTTTCTTGATAAAATATCTACATATATGCCCCCGTTTGTCTCTTTTCTCTTGCATTTCTCATATTTTCTTTCGTTTCTCCTCTCGAAATGCCACGAAAAACGCTGCCAGCAAATATGTATGCGTACTTCACTACTTCTTATTACCTCTCTTGAGAAACGTAATTTTATTTTTTCCGCAATAATTTAATGAGCGACGAAGCAAACAAAAAATAATGTGGAAAAGAAGATTTATCGGTTTTTTTTCCTTGATTTTCTACAAGATGCGATGTTGAAGTATGAAACAAGAAATTGTTCCATTGTAAACGCGTCATGCATTTTTCTCATATTCGTCTTTCGTCGTCATTCTTGAAAGAAAGTGACACTCCATTTCTTTGCGAATAATGCAGAGAGAAAAATTTATCGGTTTCACATGTTGCAATTTCGAAGAATAATAACAGATTGTTCATCTTCAAATCATTCGCGAATCGTTCATATATCTAGGATAGTCGTACATACATGATTCTTCTATCTATACTTTCTTATATCACTCCTATCTATCATAGTATCTCAATTTCTCGGATCGGTAAGAGCTCTTTATGCCAGTACAACTTCTTCCTTTTCTCTCTTCTTATCTTCGGCTTTGCTATGGAAAGAAGGGCAGCGCGGTTGTCTCTCACCAGGATTTGATGGAACGGAACGCGAACGGAAAAGGAATGTGCGAAAAGCGTAGAAAGGCGGTTATTTGGCGACTAAATTGTCCTGTTTGATGTTAGTGGCTGATGTCGCCCAGAGCATCCTCAAAGAGCTCCGGGAGGAAAGAGTATGGCTAAAAGTAGTGGTAAACTTGGAAGACATTTCGCGTGCAAAGAGACGTCAAGCTTCGTTCTCGTGCATCCGCCTACTCGCGCAGTTTAAACGTAATTCGTACACGGGTAGGCACGGAGGTGAGGCAGTTTGCAGTCTGCCACCATTTTTACGCCAGATCTTCGCGCGAGAGTAAGAACGCGTCCTCTTTCATGCCGTGGAAAAGGATTCGTCGTTCGCTGCGAACGATGTTCCGCTCGGGCGATTCTTCGGCTTCGAAGAAATCCGATTTAGTCGTCGGGCAAACGACGGTGCCGCGTGAATGAGAGCGCCGTTTTATCCACGTTCGTCTGCTAGTCGATACAACCGTTTGTGTTAAAAAGAAAAATAAGTAGTCTTTTCTCTCTGTTTTCATATAGAAGTGCGAGCCAAAATCACGATACTTCTTGAGAGCATCTTGAAAAGGACGGATATTAGAGCCATTTTTGTTGAGCATCCAATCAATAGTTCTTCTATTCGCGCAAAAATACCATCTTATATACATATATTATAGATATTTCATCTCTCTCTCTCTCTCTCTTTCTCTGCTTTATATAAAGATATTGTGAAACTTTTTTATTAAATTATAAAATTATATTTCTTTTTAAATATTAATTTAGAGAACTAATTTAGAATCGATATCTGCTTTAGAAAGATCAAATGCAAAATTAAAAATGTAGAAAGTTATATTTAACATAATTTAATGTATATATATATATATATATATATACATATTTTTGCCTAAATGTTTCTCTCTCAGTAAAAATACAAGGATGTAATACGAATATATATAAAAACCATAAGCTCCGTTTCAAAATAAATTACCTAAATCAAGGGTGAAAAAATTTTATTTGCAAACAAGTTCGCTTAAAATATAAGACAAATTATATTATTTGCAAATTAATTCATAATACGAACTTGAATAAGACATCATCTGAATCCACGATTCCATTTAAATCCAATCTATTTTATATTTTCTGTAATTTTTGCCGAATCAAATTATATTACTACAAAATTAATTATCAAAAAATTATATTGTTATACTTTGCGGCTTTTCATTGAAAAATAAAAATAAAAAAACAATATAGATTCGAAGAATGTAAATACACAACTAGTAGCAAGAATGTTTCGATCTTCTATGACTCGTCGACTTCCTGCGTTCACTTTAGAAACGCCCCGAAGTCGTTATACAGAATAAAAACGTACGGGTAAAGCTTTTTCCTGATAGCTAATGAACCGAAGAAAAACGGAGCTCACTAGGTGAAATTTATTCTGCTTGACATACAAAAACAGATCGCTCTCGTCGTTAACCGATCTAACGCGAATTCTTTTCCGTAAAGATCAAGAATAACGTACAAGGTATTGAATCTAATATCATGGTAACAGATTAATTGTAAAAAAAAAAACTTTGTCACATTTATCAACGGGGATCTTTACGAGGAGTGTCTCATCTTTATCGGACGTAATTTTATTCATCTTTTTAGTCGCGGTCCGTTCATGCACAATTACGGCGATTGTGCACGCGGAGCTTTTGAAGAAAATCGCATTGTCACGGAGAAACGTGGACATATCGCGATTGCAGAGGAAAGGAAGATTACATTTTCATACGGTTCCTGAATCGCGTCGACGTATCCATCGTCAAAAGCGCACCGTGTAAATCGCGCGCAGCCCGTTAATTTGGCTTTGCCTTTAAACGCTACGTACACTATGACTTGTCGGAAAGGATGGAACGGGATGGAAACAGAGTTTTATAATTAAAGGCTTCCTTGTTGCATGCCGCGTTTGTGTCCGAGCATGTAATAGTGTAATAGCGCTGCGATCCGGATTTACAGATAAATTAACGCAAGCTTTGAAATGCGCGTTGGAATTATTCAAGGAACCTTCAATTGAGTCGCTAATTATAAGATCTTCAGGCTCTCATTGGTAATACCGTAAGACTCAAGCTAACTGTAAAACTACTATTGGCGATTTTCTCATTATTAATTTAGTGAATCTTTGTCTATTGTTACTTCCTTTTTTAGAGATTGACAAAACATAATTTAAATTAACAAGTATTAATAAAAGCAATTATTAAATATATTTATTTGATATTGAAATTTTCTATTTCTATTGTAAAATGTTTGAAATTGAAATCATACAAATATTCATGACTTATTTCAGGAATCCAGTCTAAAAATTGAAAATATAAAATATGTGTAATCTTAAAAATTGTTCAGTTAGCTAAATAATTTAATAAAATAGTGCCACATACACAAAAGAGCAATTGCTGAAGCGGATTTACGTACTTAACATTTTACTGCGTTTTTAATAAATAATAATTAATGTAATAATATCGATTATAGATGGATGTTAATGTGAAAAGAGCGTTTCACGAAATATAAGTTGTTCGAATCAGTCATTTCATACACGTAACAATCCAGTAACATTTATGTGGAGGGTAAAGAGAGCGTGCAAATCGTGCGCAGCCATTAACCCTGTTTCCCTCTAGCCAGTACGTTCTGCCAGTAAAACTCGCAATTGAGATAGCGAGCTGTGCTTTGTTCGTACGTGGGTGTATTTGCGACCGGGCCCGATGCATGCATCCAAATCCGTGATTGTGGCGAGAGAAAGCTTAACGTTTTCGCTCTTAAAAGATACCATGTCTCCATCTACACCTCGACCGGCGCGTAACAACGACGCGTTTTACTCGCGTAAAATCTCATGCACTCTCACCTCGTTCCATTTATCGGTTTCCCACATCGGGCAGGACACGGTGTTGCAGGTCTCCTGAGTGCGCGGTTTGTGCGTGCCGCTGCACTTGTGGTCGGGTAGCTGCAACGACAGAGATTTAATATTAGTTTTAGGGTCTAGGAGTAAACGAGTTATTACGTGCGCGTAAAAAATATTTCCCGAAAATCTGAAATATCTTATTTCTACACCGCGAATATTAAAGGGTAAGTTTATAAAATAGTATTCATTTTAAAGAAAGAGAATTATAAGAGAAAGCTGAATTGCATCTCTCTTACCATAGATCTACAAAAAATTGTAGTTTATACACAATATATTACACACACACACACATATATATATATATATGCACGTGTAGTGAACTGAACTGTATTAGGGATCGTGGAATCTTCCAAGATCGTTGTGAGAAACGCGACAGGCTGCATATGTAAATGCGACTCTCAGACAAGTACGAAAGTATACGACATAAAATTCCTGAGATGAGAGGAATAGTTAACGTTCCGTCCGCACGGAAACGCGACGGAATTACGGCGTGTCTAACGTCAGTGGCGAAATGTGAAAAATGTGGCGTTTTATCGTGTGCACGCGTAACTCTGATTCGCATCGCGCGCTGGCAGATTTATTCCGGAAAGATTTATTTGTCTTTACATCCCGCGGAGTTCCATCGCGTTGACACTTTTCTGAGAGTAAACGTGACATTCCTCGAAGTTTTCGAACCGCGCTCCACTTTTTGATATGACTATATTAATTTTGCATGTGCTAGAATTTAAATAACTGAGCTGTGCTATATGACTTTTAAATTAGAATGCTTTACGTAAATATCAAGAGAATTTAGAAAAAATTATATATTCTTCTTTCATAGTAAATTTTTTGACAATTATAATTGTATAATGGATGATTAGTATGGTATTTATTAAATAATGGTATTTACTAAAAAATAAAGAATAATAACGAGACTATTAATAACGATGTTAATTAATAATTATTAAAATTCTCTAGGATGAATGTCAATAACATCGATAACTAAAGATTATTCGTTATTAAGAGATAAGTAATTTCTCGCACTTTATCAGAATCATTATCGCGAAAATATAGCTAACGAAAAGTTTTATTTCTTATTATTATTGAAAAATCCCTTTCTCTTTCGAATTTACCTTCGTAGTTTCGTTCCCGTTCTCCTCGGTGCAGAAGACGGACCTCGTTCGCGATCCACCACCGCAGCTCGCGCTGCACGTGCTCCATTCTCCGCTCATCCATCTGAAAGAACAGAGAAAGAAAATGGCTTACAGCAACGGTATCACAGGGATATACCGAGTTTAAGTTACGAAGCCGCGAAATTATGCAGCTACTTGCATCCGTTACTTTGCGTAACGAAGCCGTAAACATCGTCGTACGCGTGTCAAAAACTGATTAATATTCCGTTTCTGTCGGTGCGACATTCGACAAGCCCTTACGTTATTTAAGATCGGTATAAAAAAAGAAACGTATGTGCCGTCAACGCTCATGATATAAGTTTTATGGTTTTATGGTTTGAAGAAGGCGACATATTGCTTGAAAACAACGAGTGTTTCCATATTGATACGTTTTTTTCTCTTTTTTACGTTAGTGGGGATACGTTCATTTTTCGTTCGATTTTTCGCGTTACTTACGAGCCGTGGAATATGAGACTGTCGAGTTCCAAAATATAAAATAGAAGTTTGTACACGTGGTTTGCCAAAAAAATTGCTGTTTTTACTTCGCCCATTTTCCATCATAATTATGTAGGATTGCAAAGTTGATTATATACATTAAATAACGCAATATATAATAATGCAATAAAAATGCAAAGAAAAAGAATATTAAAAAAATACAATATCACAAAATATTTCCTTAAAAAAAAAAGAAATATACTTATTAGCAAAAAATTTTATGACTTTTGTCACAGATTGTTTGCATAATATATTTCGAAAGTACGGAAGTTTCGAATATATATATATATATATCCATATATACATATATATATATATATATATATATATATTCATATCCAAATGTGAAGGGAATTATCCCCAAAAGTTAATCATAATTTCTTCTGTAAGTAAATCTCTTAATATATATTCGTATTTCTTTCCTGATTTGAAATATTTTCTCATCGAAAAGTGTTGTAAACATTTCATGTCATTTACATATTATCGATGAAATCGAAGGATTAATGACAGACTGTAGCTTTGCTTTTAATACAATCTTGATAACTATGGATATTTTAGATTGAAACATTTCTTCATTGAACTCTCGGCTAATATCTTTGATGGCCTCGAATTTCAATGTATCGGATATAAAGCCGATAGAGAAGATACCGATTTTTGCTGAGCATTTATCAAGTAACATGGATAGAGAGTGCCGAGAGTGCCTCCCATCAAGCTAACAGGCTTTTTTTATGAAACTGTCAAAGTCACTCGGCATTTTTCACATATGATACCATAAAAATGTTTCGTGTACGAGCGATTGCGCTAAATGACAAAGTGAAACGGTAACTCCGGCTCGTGACTGGCATTACGCGCGGGATATCGATCACCGATTATTATCGATCTTGCCGCTCTCACGAGCCGCCCTGGCATTCTTTCCACGTGATCTCCAAAGTTATCTTTGATGTGATTCAATTTCCGCGACGATAAAGCCGACCGTGTGTATCTATATAAGTTGGACACGGTAAAAGCCGAGTTTATACGTAAAGTATGCACGTTGTCGAAATTTGAGATTAATAGTTGTAATTTTTTCAATTTCCCACGTATCGTATATTTCTCCTATGAAAAAAATCACGCTAGACACACTACCGGATTTTATCAATCGATCACGCTAACGGCTCTTGGCTTTATGACGTGAACCTCGTTTACAGCGTAACAGGTGCACAAATATTTGTGACGAATTCATGATGGATCCCGATTTTTCAAATTTTCTAGCGTATCAAACTAAAAAATGCTCTGCTTATGAAACCTAAATATCTTTATATATTCTAATAAAATTAAATTATAATAGTATTTTGCTTAATGATACCGTAATGTCATTTACTATAAAACAGTGAAAAAAATCAACATTAACTGACATTTATTCGGTTTTTAATTAAACCAATATTTTTTCCATTAATAATTATTTCTGTAATATATTTTTTAAATGCAGGCTCTCAGAATTCTGAATCGAACATAGCGGTTACTTAAGCATCAATCATGCATAACTAAGGATAAGTAGTAATGTATGATTGAATCATAACTTTCAGACCTAAGTGCGGTTATGGCTTTTGAGAGTCTCGTTTCTCTTTGGGGAAAAGGCAGACCGTTTCTTAGTCGGTCTGACCGTATTGAATTCGACTAAACTCGGCCACTCCAATTAAGCTGTTGACCAATTCATTGGTATCGATCGATATCCCTGGTAATTTATCAACGCAAAGACTTGTAATCGCGATATCGTCGTGTCGCCGATGCCATAAAAGTTAAGTCGATCGTGTAGTCCGTCTCCCATCGTAATCGTTAGATGATACGATTCGATTACTGTTAGCGATACCGATGTCACAAGCGTGTTCCAAGTAGAAATTTTCTTGAATTTCATTGGATCGATTAATCGGTTGACGTGATATAGATGGAGTGAGATATATTACAACACGAACGTCCGCTCGATGAAAAACTAATACGTTTCTTTCGAACGCAATTTTGTAACGTAACTGATGTTTCTTGTATATCTAATACGATTTTCACTTATTAATTTTCCGCGAAACACAAACTCGCATTCCAATACCTTTTCAGAAATAATAGTAATATTCTCTTCGTTATATAGTAACGAATAGTAGCAATAAGCGTTGGTAAAGATCATCGACCGCCTCGTGAACATTGAACCATAAATTCAGGCACAAAGAACAGAATCTATATACTAGACTGTAAACTTTCAGCGTTGCTCCGCGGTTCTCGCTTTCAGCGAGTATCCAGAGAAAGGGAGAGAGAACAGTTTGCGGGAGTTTTTGTCCGAGTCCCGTCGACGGCGGAGTATCTCGTCGTTTGTTGGACGATTCCCATCGCGAGAGCTGGCTTTAAATCGCTGCCTCGCAACCCTTCCACGAGACGGAAGAGAAATATTGTTGTAGGAACAAAGATCGTTTGTACCGAGCAGTTCCCAATTTCTCGCTCGCTCTCCGCTTACTTCCTCGAAGATTTCGAAATATCGCTTGTACGAGAATTAAGATTTATTCGCGTTAAAAGCACAAAACACGGTGAAAGATATTGTAATATTATACGAGGCGATATAGATACTTTATTCGCATCGCGAGCGAAAGACATGTATATAATATCTACTTTTCGATTACTTATACGCGAGTTGGACGTTCTTCGACGTAGAACGTGCATGCAGTTCTATTAAAAGTAGTTTACTCTGTCCAAAAGTACTCACTTCGTCGTGCAGGGGTGCGTGTTGCACGGCATCAGGGTCTTCTCTGGCCGGTTGTTTGGATCGCAATAGCTGTCCTCCACGACACTCTCATCGGCGCCAACTGATTTGCACACCGTCATCGCCATCTTGAAACCTATTAGTGCAAAAACGCGACCGACAAATTAGCCCTCCAATTTGATAGCGAACGCTGTCGTGCAAATAATGCTGCGATGCTGTAAATTTCATTTGACGTCTTCTAGAACGTCCCAATTTTTTAAATAATCGCGGAACATATTTAGATTACTAAATGTAATAAACAAAATTTCCAAGATATTAAGAGTTCTTTTCGAGCAGATATATAACAATCATGCTTTGGTATTGTTTTTATATAATGCAATTTAAAAAAAAAAATGAATATTTGAAAAGATAAAAATGAAATCTTTGAGGAGTTTATGTAAATAAATCGTTCAAGCTACGATGAAATATTCATCGTAATATCGCGGTACTTTAGTTGTTATGTTTATTTGCATAGGAAAATGTAGTTAAATTAATTCAGTAATTACCAACCTCCACCGCAGGACTTGGAACAGGCGGATATCGATTCTAAACTCCAGGAGTATCGCGATTGGCAGCTTGATCCATTCCCTCCGCACACGCCACACGCATCTGTGTTCTTGTTACTACCAACTCTAAGGTCACAGCCAACCTTCTGCAACAGAAATCCATGCTCGATTAATGAAATACGTCTTTCACATAATGGATCTTAGTCATGGTTGTCTCTAACATTGTCGAAGATGATAATTTTCTCTTAAACACTTGTTACATGCGCGTTAATTTTATTCCGTTACTTCAAATTCATTTTTTTTTTCAAGAAAAGTAATAATAATTGCCTAAAAATGTTAACTATGTAGTATTAATATATTTATTTTTAATTTAAAAAATTATATTTAATTTATAAAGATTCTATTAAAAAAAGATATAAATTCTCTTGTCTGGTTAAAACCTGTTCAATTTTTTGCAAGTATTCATAAATTACTGTTCGGTACTGAATACAAAAATTTTATATTTTATTGCTGATTCAAAAGTCGCGTCAATATAATTTATAACGATTTACTATTTACGTGGCGTCAGAAAATTTTTCTAGTCTGAGTTTTGTAGTTGAACTGCAAGAGTTTTTCGCGACGGTATTTCGGAGGATATTAAGAGGACTGACGAACGCTGACGTGCCATCGGGATTCATGCGAGAACGAGGAACATCTCGCGAAAATTCAGGACCTTTGAGGAGGCGGGAGAGTAGAGATGGTAGAGGTGGAAGGAGTCGTCGCTGACGTCGATTCGTGACCTGGCTCGGACGGCAAACTGATTTGTCATTCAGGTTGCATGGAGGTTTGCTCGGAGGTCGGGGAGTACATTATTCATCCCTTATCCAGGGCGAGAAGAGTGAAGGCAAACTGGAAGGCGAAGGTGCGAGCGAATGAGCGAAGTGAGACGCGTCGGAGATACTAGGAGGAAGCAGCGGCGAGCGAGAGTAAAAAGGAGAAGGACGTGAGCCTAACGAGGGATCTCCCGTACGATAAACTGCGGTGGCGAGATAATCCGAGATTTCGTAAAGTGACTCGCGACGCGAATAAATTGTTCGTCCCTATTACGCACGCTTAAATTTTTAAAATCAGCAAATCTCGAAGTGTGCGTTTTTGCGATGACAAAAAAGTAGAAAACAAGGAAATAATAAACTCAACGAGTAGTTTCTCTCTCTCTCTCTCTCTCTCTTTTTCTCATGGCAATCATTTATCTTTTTTAACATCTAAATATTTGCAAACGCGTATTATTGTATTTTATTATAATCATATCACATTATACGTAATTGTATATTTCTGTCTTATATTTCGCTAAATAAAATGACGTGCTACTTCTACTTCTTTTAGTCGTTATCCTCCTCAAATCGTACGAATTATTCATCCATCCCGTTATGCTTTGATATCTTCTTCTATAAACGATTTTACATAACGGTGTCGTTGAATGAAAGATAGACATTATCGGACGAAAATTGCGCACTAAATTCAGTGCAACGCGACACGATGCGCATACAGCGGGCGCGGCGGTCTCCATTTCGGCCCAATTGACCGTTCGATTTGGCTGCAAAATCGAAATAGGGCTCGATTATCGTTCAAGTTTCAAACTCTCTCTGAAATACTTCCATTAAACATCGGCGATCGTCATTCGGCGAATTGCAGCAGTTACGAGCCGCAGTTTTATTCCGTGCACCAATGCAGAAGCCAGTTTAAGCAGGTACTTTATTTTCGTGCTCTCGAAACTCTGGCTCTCTAATAGCTTCACGCATCGAGAAGCTACACTAACGCGAGAGCAAAAATATCTGAGGAAATGGAGATGCCGGACAAAGCGAATTGTGAAATATATTCTCGTCGAATAGCACGAAGAGAAGAAATGTTTTCGATGCACACACATTCATGTAAAATCTAATTTTTAATTATAATATCATAATTGTGGGGAAATGCCCTTTTCCTCGAAGAAGATTATAAATAACTTTATCAGTTAATCAATCAAAATCCTGTGATATGTATTTTTTACTTACCCCTATATAATTACTTAATAAAAATAAAATAATATTAATTCGATAAAAAATTCAATATGTTATTAAAAATAATTTAGTTTACAATTGTAATTTATTTTCTATCACTTCATAGCGAGTGAGCGAGCGAGAAAAAGAGAAAGAGAAAAAGATTCGTGAGACCGCGAAGACAATTATGAGAAAGACGGAAAAACTAAGGGATCAATGCTCGCCAAACGATTTGCGTTCGGCAGATCGGGATATGAAGAAATTTAATTTCATGCGAGGATGAATTTGTTTCACACTTTCTCTCTCTACTGTATGACAATAGAACAGAAATATCTCAACAGCCATGTGTCTGCGCGCCTGTATGCTTCTTTATACATATAAAAGACATGCATGCGGGTGCGCCGGATTAGGTTTACTTTGCCGCGGAAGTGGGAATCAATGATGGGACTCGATAATTGAAAGATAGGGTCATCGAAGCAACCCGTTATTTCTCTACTAGGTAAACAAGTCGGAAGAGAACGAGAATTTCGCTGGGCGTGAGAAATGAAATATCGCAGGACTTAACGGTACTCTGTCGATCTTATGACCCTCTTCTATTCCTGGTTCCGCACAAATAATCGTTGCAATATGCGGTGACAAAAATAAAGAGTTGGAATTATAAAAATATTATCATTAATATTACATATTTTCAATTTATTAATATTGTAAATGTATTATTATTTAACGTTATATTATATATAAAATTAATAATAATATATACAATACTTGCATTAAATAAAAAGATCATGGATTTAAAGAGATATGCCTTATAATGTATATTGCAATCGGTATATTTCTTATCATTTGTAATTTCTCTCTGATAGCTTTTCTAATTTCTAATTATAAGTCATTTCATATCTATGTAGCAAAACACTTAAAAATTTTTTAAGACTATTAAAATAAATTTATACGAAGATTTTTCAATACTTTCGGATCGAAATCAATTACTGTGTCAATATACACCCTCTATTTAAACTGAAATATCGGAGGGATTAGCAAAGACGCAAAAGCCGATAATTGCTAATGCTCTCGCGATTTTCCACACCGTAGCGATTCCGTTGCGCAAATTTGACTGACATTCAATTATTCACCCACGCGCTCGAAATTCTATTCGATGTTCCATGTTCCTTTCTTAGCACTCTTGCTCCCTGCACCCTACTCCATTAAGATACATCTCGTCTTTTCTATGAATCTCATACCATCTTCCAGCCATCGCGCCCCACTTTCCCTTCCCTCGCAATCGTTTCTATCTTTTAACATAGTTTTCTCGAGAATAAGATTTATACAGAGTGGAGAAAGGGGTGCTTAACCCCGAGCGTTTTATTCGCCTTCAGTTTTCAATGGCACGATAAAATTTATTGTGCATCTGTCCAGAACTCTACGACTCTGATTTAATCCTTGCTTTTTATAATCGTTCCCCATATTCATTTAATTATTAGACAATTTCTTTCGATTTTAGACATAAGAAACTGAAAATGGAAGTTTAAAAGAGAAAAAATAATTTGACAAAAACTAGAAAAAGGAGCAGAAGGAAGCAAGCAAGAACTTATTTCTAGGAAAGCAAATTTTTGCTTCTTGTATGGCTTCTCTCTTGTTCTTTCCTTCCGTTGTGCAGCATTAATCTTAGTCAAATCTTGTTAAAAAGTAGCAGTTTGACCGAAATTTAGAATACAAACTTTGATAAGATACTTCCATATTCGTTTAAAGTATTCTCCCATATTTGTGTTCAAAGTGTTCTTTCATTCTCGTAAAGTTTAATAAGAATGAACACCTAATTACTATTCATTTCTGAAGAATTTTTTTTTATGAAAAAAAGAAGCAGATAACGAAGCTTAGCATAACTTTAGTAACAAAATACGAAACTTGCGGCGGATAATATTCGCTTCTTAGGCGGCGTGAAAAAGCGTGAATCTTCTTTCGTAACTCTTAAAATATATTTAAACCTGATAATAATTAAAATTATATATAGAAAACCCTAATTTTTAAAGAGAATTTCGCGAGACATGGAAGAAAGTTAGTGAAATATATAACGATTTTTCAGAACATTGATAGAACATTAAACTACGTGGCTGATAATTCGTAATAATGTAATTTCTCAAAATTCACCGTTTCCACTACTAGGAACGGTATGAATGGCGTAATAATTTCTCGCCCCGAAGATAAATTTTAACGAGTGCACAACGTAATGAAAAAGCTTTGGCGCGACCATCGGGCGTGCCCACAACGAAAGCGGGACTCGGCACTTTTAATAACGCAAAGCCAGTTTGCGTTTACTGGAGTTTGCTTAATGCTTAATTACGTAGACTTCTCTGCTGATTAGATATTGTCCCCGCGACTATGTTGCCGGCATCGCTGTTATGAGAATTCGTTAATTATTCCCCGGCATACCGCGAACGCGCTTCTCCGGCGTTATTGTTAATCCGATTTCTTTCTGGTTGTTTCGCGGTATCACGAGTCTCATTTAATTTAGGATCAAAGAATTAAGATTTTAATGCTACGTCGAGGACGCACATTATATTTTCGCGGCAAGAAAACGTCCAATTTGTATGCAGATAAAAATTTTAGAGAAGAGTAAATGAAATGTACTTGCGATTTATTTTTATGTAGTAGTTTAAATATTTCAAAAAATTATTCTTTATTTTAATTCATAAAAATTTGAAATATCTCTAATTTTTTTAGCAATAATAAATAATAAATTTATGAGATATTTAATAATTATAATACATATTTTAATAATTATATTGTACTAATAAAATATTAATATGTAATAAAATTTATTTCGTGTCTAGTTTTTTATAATTCTATTTTATAATAATTTAATTTTGCTATTCGTAATAAAATTGCAAATGAGAGATGATATTAAAATCTAAATATAAATGACGAATTGTAGTTATGATGAATATAAACAACGATATAATTGAATTTTTATTTAATTAAATACATTAATTAAATAGATAATTTCTTTTTAAACAGAGAGGTATATAAGCATTTTAAATATATCCGACTGTACAATGTAACGGTAATTTCGAGTATTTTCAAGAAAATAATGAGAGATTTTAATGAAACTTACAAGTATCTTATTAGGATATCAA